CAGCACACACAAAAAGTCAGGCTCCGACAAAAAAAAATTATCAAATTTGGAAAAGAGGAACTGATCCAACTAAACCATTTGATAAATGTTAATTATTGATTGTAAAATCAAATTTATGATAAACGTTAATTATTGATGGTAGAATCATGCAGTCCATGAAAAGTCAAAATAACAAATCCCACATGCAAAGTTTGTGTACCTTCTCAGAGGAACAGATCCAACGAAACCATTTGCTTGAATAACCAATACGAATATGGAAAATGATTTTATTTATATAAACGTTGATCCCAAAAGACTAAAGTTAAAGCAACTGTTCTAAGGCCATTGAGAAGTGAATCTGATGGTATTCGATATTTGAGAACGCTAAGAAAAATGTGAGTGAAACAAGAACTTCCTCAGTTTATTCAAAAAATTATATATGGCTTGAAGGAAATTAAAAATGTTGCAAGAAATTTAAGGTTCTACCAAATGGACTTAGTAGAGATTTTGCGTTATTTTGGAAAGAGGATTTTGATCTCAACATTCTCTCCTCCACACCAAATTATATTGACGCGAATGTTAAGTCCAAAGGCAAAATGTTTCATCTAACTTTTGTCTACGGCCACGAGACGACGAGAGGTGTGGGACTACGTACTTATCCGAATTGAGAGCTTCAAGAGACTCTGAATGGCTCTTAATGGGGGAACTTTAGCGATATAGTCGATAACTCTAAAAAATGAGGAGGCCTTGATAGGCATGATGAAGACTCCATTAACTTTCGAAACTTGTTTTGCATAACGATTCATGGGATGTAAAACATAGATCGTTTTGTTAATTAACGGTGAATTAAAATTACTTCAATTTATACATTTTATACATCTAACTAGTTGGAAATGAGACATAATGTTTCTTACATAGGAGGAATTTTTGTACAATCGTAATTTACAGTTTTAATTTCCATGGTAAAAGTTTAGTAATATTCACTCATATTTATAACTCCAAGCAAAGGAACTGAAATTAGCTAGTTTGAATGTGTTATGTGATAATTATTTGGTTTGAATCTGTTTTGATGTTATGTTCTGATCGATTTTTTTGTTTTGATTATATTTTATGTAGGTTTGATGTGAATGTTGTTTAGTTTATGGTGCTCATTGTTTTGGTTTTAGCTAAGTTGATTTCGGAAAGAATACGATATATTCTGTCATTTGAATACTTAGAAAATGCTTTGAAATATCTTCCGACGCAGCAAATTGCGGCAGATCCGATTGTCTACCAGAATAAAAGATATACAATGGTCCAAGGGCAGTAGGCATCAAATTTGGAGGTTATCATGCCGCTATTATTTTGTCGGTATTTTGGAGACTTTGTTGTCGAATGCAAAATGGCAAATAGACCAAAAGTTGTTGATGTTGATTACATTTATGTTTTTTTTACCACTATGTACATGATTGTTGGTGCCTAATTGCCCATAGTGATGCGCATGCCTTTGTTCGCTGGACTGATAGGTCAGTGCATCTATTGAGCAATTTTGTCATTTTAGACATGTATACCAAATCT